ACAAGATAAAATCCAGAATCAAAACCCAAAAGCACAAGTATGCATGCTATCATACCATCATCACCATCATACTTCCCCTTTTTGACTGGGAGAGACAAAGGGACAAAATAGAAAACCAAAGATATCGAAATGACCCATAGAAAAACTATATAATCCCAATATATCGACTAACTGGCCTGCGTCACCCTGGAGATAATAACTAGCAAGGGTCACCCTCAACTCGCTATCATCTATATGAAGCATTTCAAAGGTCTTCACGGTTTGTTCTAACCATTCGTCTGCTTTCTTTGGATCGGGGCCGCCATGGAATTCATCCAGCTTAGCCCTTAAAAACTTCATTGTGAGGAAGCTGGCTCTAGTCTCTGCAACATTCTCCCTTGCTTGGGTCTCCGCCCTTAAAATGTTCATGGACTCCCTCATTGCCCCAACCATCTCCTGGGCTAGAGCCCCCATTGCGGTTTGGCCGACTTGCCCCGGTACCTCCGCTTGCCCTACTTGTTCAGCCATGTCAGCTTGGCCTAAACCCTCTTCTTGTACCAGAACCTCATGGACCGGCACCTCAAATACACCCCGGCGACCTCGACCTCGCCTTCCACCCCTACCTCCTCGAGTTCGAACTCTTCCGGACATCCTAATTGAGAGACAAGATAAATAATTTAGCACATAATTCCAAATGTGCTTGCCACTCGCTTCACACGTTAGGCTAAGCAACTACATGCATCCTACTACACAAACAATTTAATTCACTCCACATAAGCACTTAGTCACATAAGCACATACGAATTATCCTTTATTGAAGAGATTCGTCCCATGAGAAACCAAGAATTCTTAGTAGAATGAGTATTGATCAAGTACCCTTCTAATAAGACCTCAAGGAAACTAATAGGCACAAATAACATCCCAAAAGTCTAATCCCATACCCACGTAGTCACATAAGCATGCTATCACGTAATCACAAAAACAAAGCGTTTCCTAATCATGCGAAATGAACCCATTGTGGTAAGACAACCATTTCTCGCGAGCCCCAAGTATTCAAACCCGGTAGCTCTGATACCAAGTTGTAACGCACCGAAATAATCCCAACATGGATGTATGTGGCTGATGTATCATTCATGTTGGGATTATTTCGGGGCGTTACATAGCTCGAGTGTGAAATACAAACTCTTAGTAGTTTTATAGATAGAAGGCCAACGCTTGAGTGCAATAAGGGTCGCTCGAGGGCAAGAAGCTTCGCTCGAGCAAAGAATACCAACTCCTAGTAGTTTTGCAAACCTGCAAAAGTACTGAGAGTTCACAAAGACTGCTTGAGTGCAAGAAGTGACGCTCGAGTGTAGAAGTAAAATTCTGGACAACAAGGATTTTGAAAAACAAGATATCAACTTGTTCCAAACGCAATCAACACAACCCAAAAGCCAAACTCAAAGAGGTATAAGGGAAATAAGATATAAATGATTATAAAAGGCAATGAAACTCGGATCCAAAACATCAAATGGTTTGTGTCCAAACTAGAATTGCTATAAACGCTGCAAACTTAGATATGGGAGAGGAAACCCTAAAAGACAACAAAAGAGACCTTTTATAGCAGTCTAGGTCACACAGACCACTCGAGCGAAGGAATGGTCACTTGAGCGGTGTGTCTAGTATGCGGCGCGCATATATGACTTCGATCGAGCCATCGAAAGTGTACTCGAGCGAAGAATGTGAGCTCTCAGTAATGTTGCAGACTGAAATACTGAGGGTAAGGATTATTCACTCGAGCGACCAGTTCATCGCTCGAGCGGTCCAAGAACAAACAGAGGACAAAATTTACAAATGAAAAGTGTCTGTTTGCGGAATTGACAACACAAGGGACCTAACAATCTCTCCCTTTGTCAATTCTTGGACAAAACACATCTAACATTTAGTCCTACAAAACTCACGCTCTAGACACAATCAACAACCTAACCATTCGAAAAACGCCGTGTGAAGAGAACCACCTGCAAAGAGCACAAATAGCACAAACACTAGAATGGAAAGATAGATGATTAGTAACAAGATAAAATCCAAAATCAAAACCCAAAAGCACAAGTATGCATGCTATCATACCATCATCACCATCATACTTCCCCTTTTTGACTGGGAGAGACAAAGGGACAAAATAGAAAACCAAAGATATCGAAATGACCCATAGAAAAACTATATAATCCCAATATATCGACTAACAATGCCAAAGATTACCAATATGGGACAGATAATAGACCATCAACAAAATTGTGCCCAAGAGATGATAGAAAAGAAAAGGAAAAATTGTCCAAAAAGAATAAAATAAAATAAAAATTTCCAAGACAAATAGATAAAGACAACATCACTAATATGGCGGAGGTGGAGGAGGCTGCTGCTGCTGCATCTGAAGTGGGTACAGGATTTGAGCCAACTAAAGAGAGGCCTGGTCCACGACATGCTCAATTCGCCTAGTGGAAGCCTCCAAAGCAATGAGACGTGCATAGGTGGATATCTCTAAGTCTCTGATGCGAGCATCATAAATGTCTATCTGAGTGTCCAAACGATTAAAACGGGCGCTCATGGCCTGTGCCACCTGGAAGAGATAGTTCGAGCACGAGCAGGCTGTTCCCTCTCGCCAGCTACTGCAGCATCAATCTTAGCATCCTCATCCATCTGATTCTCTCCGGCACTTGAAACACCGGCACCGGATGACTCCCCTCTTAACACGGGCTTGGCTCTGGGAAACCATCTTTTTGGTGATGGGTTTGATATTACAAGAAAACTCATCATCAGAGGAGAATGGGACACCAAGAGGGGTAAGCAGCCGGTTTAAAAGACACCCGTAGGGAAGACCCAATGACTTCTTACCCTCAAACACCGAAATCAGTTTGGAAACAATCATTTCAGGAAGATTGATGGAAAGACGGTGGTCGATGCAGTAAAGAACATATCTTTGATCTTGGGAAATGTTGGAACAATGTGCTACCAATCTTTATAATTATTTTATTTTTTTGAGAAAATTACAAAAAAAAAAAAGAAAAAAAAAATCCAAAATTTGAGTCTTGCAACAAAATAAATCTCGAGTTTTTAATTTTGTCAATTTAAATTTTAAACTTTTGATTTATTTTCAATTTAAACTATTTTCTTATCTTCTTTAAGTAAAACAGATTAAAAAAAGAGAGAGTATTTTAGTTATTAAACTCAATAATAAAAGTATTGTAGACATTTTATATATACATATATTGAGTTCAATGATTATAAAATTATTATTTTTATTTGTTTTATTTAATGAAAATAGAAGAATGATTTATATTGAAAATAAATCAAAATATTACGGTTTAAATTAATAAAATTAAAACTTACAAAGTAAAAACTTTCGGTTTATTTATTTTTAATTTCCCTTTAGTTTTTTATTTTTATTTTTTTATATAAATGTTATATTCAGTGAAAATTACAACAAGATGAATAGTTTACCCAAAATGAACCCACGGAAGCGTGACATCACCTCTCCTGCTGTATTCATCCAATCGGATTATTCTTAGGTAAATATATTACCAAATGCTTCCACTTATGTTTTAGGCTCAAATTAGATTGCGGGCTTATCTCATTAGTTTTTGCTGTTGCAGACAAGTAGATTTTTTGCAAGCTTATTCTAGAGTCATGTTTTTATGAATTAAATTTACAAATATTTTAAGATTGTGTTTGGATGACAAATTTAGATAAAAATTTAAAAAGAAAATAGAAAAAAGATAAGTGAAATATATGCTAATTTTTTCCTTTCCAAATCACTATTTAAATCTATAATTCAGACACAACGCAAGAATTTGTTTGGATATAAATGAATTTTAAGCCAGAGATTTGACCTCAATCATTCAAGAACAATAACTCAAATTTAAATATAACACTTTATTAAGAAATTTCACGATTGAGTTAAGTACTTAAATCTTGATGAATTTTAAATCATCATATAAAACTATTAATTCAAATCGGGAAGTTATTGGTGAGAACTGAATAATTTTCTATTGAAATCGTGCGAAGGATTCTATTTCTTAATATAAACAACCTACTAAAATGTTTATATGTCCTCTCTCAACTTATCTTCTTCCTTTCTATATATTTAACCCCCAATCCCTTGATTTAAAATATACAATTATCCAATCTGGTCGTAAAGTTGTGGTTGAATCATAAATTTGAATAAGAACTTCTATACGGGAAAAAAAAAAAAAAATCATATTTCGTTCACATTTTCTTTACCTTCTCTTTTCTTTTTCAAATTTCTAGCCAAATTCATGAATCAACCACATCATTAATAAAAAAATAAGTTTCGTCGACTTTGAATCTTTAATTCTCATTTTATTCTTAGACATAAATGTACATGTTCTATAAGTATAATATTTTCTCAACCCCAAGGGTTTGGCCTAGTGAGTGCACCTTAGGACCTAGGGGTGTGCTCCCTCTAGGTCACATGTTCAATTTTTATTAGGAGTAATCCACTCCTCAAAACTATGCTTGCCGGCTCTGCCCAATCCACATGGTGGGGGTGGTTTACGTGAATTCCGAGATTAGTCAATATATATATATATAATATTTTCTCACTTTCACCTTTATATTATTATTATTTTTCACTTTGTAGTTCAATTTAGTGGCACATATCATTTTCTGTTAAAGTATTTTACAGCAACCACATTAGTTTAAGTACTAAATTGAATGCAAAGTATTGTAGATGCAGAGTGTAATTTATATCATTTTTCTTTTTCTTGTCTCTCTTAATTACACTCTGCAAAGTATTGGATGATATTTGGCATGAATGCAAAGTATTGGATGATATAAGTACTAAATTGAATACTTTGCAGAGTGTCATCTACAATACTTTGCATTCAATTTAGTTTAAGTACTAAATTGAATGCAAAGTATTGGATGATATTTGGCATGAACTAAGCTTGGACACAATAGGTATTCCCATCACAGGAAGGAACAAAGTTGTGATAACGTCTCGAAATCAAGATGTGTGGAAAAATATGGAAATGGATACAGAAATTCAGATCAAAGTACTATCAGAGCCAGAAGCATGGGACCTATTCAAGAACAAGGTGGGAGATTCTATTGATTTTGATCAAGAACTACATGATATTGCAAAAGAGGTGTGTAAAGAGTGTCAAGGTTTGCCAGTTGCTATACTTGTAGTTGGAGGTGCATTAAAAGGTAAGCAGAAGTATGTTTGGAAAAACGCACTTGAGAAGCTGAAAAAGTCTATGCTACAGAAAATTGAGGGAATTAGCCCAAAGTTATATGAATCCATGAAGTTGAGCTATGATTATTTATCCATGGATGCAAAATCATGCTTCTTGCTCTGTTGTATGTTTCCTGAAGATGCCGAGATTCCAATTGATGAATTGGTGAGAAATTGCATGGCGAGAAGGTTGCTTGTTGAAAAGCAAGATACACTCGAAAAAGCAAGAGATGCAGTGCTTACAGTAGTCGATACACTCAAAACTTGTTCTTTGTTGTTAGATGACACAAATAAAAACGTTGTAAAAATGCATGATGTCATTCGAGATGTTGCTGTTTCAATTGCTGATGATGAAAAGGCAATTCTTGTAAAACATGGTGTTCATGAGTGGCCGGAAGAAGGTACGTATGAATCGTACTTGGCAATCTCATTAAGGTCCAAAACTGTTCATGAGGTTCCCAATAAATTAAGATGTTCACAACTCCACACCTTATTGTTAGAATGTATCGCTCCCTCGGTTACTATTCCAGACATGTTTTTCGATGGGATGGAGAAACTTACAGTTTTAGAATTGAATGGAGTTTGTATGTTGCAACTCCCACCATCACTTGCAAATTTGGTTAACCTTCGGATGTTATGTCTAAATGAATGCCAGTTGGAAGACATAACTATACTCAAGGATCTAAAGAACAACCTTGAAGTACTTAGCCTTCGGGGTTCTGATATCAAGGCCTTACCATCAGAGATTGGACAATTGACCCAACTTCGGTTGTTAGATTTGAGAGATTGTTACAAACTCTCAAAGATTCCACAAGGTGTCATATCCAATTTGTCTCGCCTGGAAGAATTATACATTTCAGATAGCTTTGAGCAATGGGAGGATGCTACAGCCAACAAGGAAAGAAGCAATGTGAGCCTCGATGAGTTGAGGAAATTGACGCAATTAACCACTTTACATATACACATTCCAAATGCCATGCTGCTGCCTAAAGACATCTGCTTTGAAAAATTGATCAGATTTATAATATCAACGGGTGAAAGGTTTTATTATTTTGATGATCAGTCATCAAGAAGGACGTTTATACTTGTAGGCGTTCCCTTAAGGGATGAGTTTAATGTTTTGTTGGAGAGAGCTGAAGTGCTTCATTTGGAAAAAGTGGAAGGTTTACAGAAGGTGTATCACGGACTATATCCATCAGGGTCCTTCAATAAATTAACTGAATTAAGAATTAAAGATTGTAAGTTGAAATATCTCTTCTCCCCATCATGCGCAAGAGGACTTCTGCAAATTCAACGACTAGTAATAAAAGATTGTGAGGTCATGGAAGGAATTGTTGGAAATGAAGGAGTAAAAAATGAAGAGGCAGTCACAAGTGAGGCAATTAGTTTTAGTCAATTGAAATATATGGAGTTGGAAAGTCTACCCAGCCTCGTAAGCTTCTACCCCAAAATGGAGAAGACGTCGACCGCTAAGGAAAATTCATCTACCCAAGCACACTCTCTCTTTAATGAAAAGGTATGTTTCGTCAATAACATTTTTATGTGCTTTGAATCCTTTATAGCTAGTTATTTGAAAATGTTTTATGTATTAGGGAATATAGTAATATAGTGAATCTTATCCCTCCAAACTTTTATGTGATTTGGTATCCTCCTGCCACATAAGACTTTTCATTCATTATTTTATTTATTTATTTTTCTGGGTAAGAAGACTCAAATTAAGGTCTTTTAAATAAAATCCAAATTATTTGGGGAAATACGCACCTTGAAAGGGGATGTATGGCATGCATACATAGTTATGCTATTTTTTTTTTTTCTTTAGTTATGACTAATTTTCTTTTTTAGTTATTATATTATTTTAATTGTGACTCATGGGATCTTTAATTATGTCTCATATAGTGTTCAATTATGATTTTTTTTTTTTTAATTTTAATTATGACTCAAAAGTATGGAGTTATACCATTTTATTATTTAGTTATAAAATGCATATGGTACACACCTTTTGAAGAGTGTGTACCATAGTCTTTTCCAATTATTCATCCCAAAAAATATCACCAAAGCTCCTGTCACCAAATTATACATAAGAAATGTGTCGATCTTGATTAACATGAGAACCCAGTTAGTAGAGTATGTTTGGCATGTATCTAAGTTAATGTGATTAGTGCCATGTAAAATATCACATGAGATATTATTCAAGTGTGGTCATTCTAGTAGTAGTCATTTAACATATGTGACTCATTTGATAAGCTTTGTAGGTATCCAAATATTAGCCAATTACATGTTATCATGTGTTATAAAGATCTAAAAAATATGACATAAGTATTGTCAAATCAAATATTGTCACGTGTCTAATCGGTCTAAAATCAAGATTATATAGTGGTCAAATCAAATTTTACCATTTGTTAAAATAATGTAGTTTCAAGTAAACAAGTCTCCACAAATAAAATTAAGCTACTTGTCACATTGGGTAGTTAAATCGATAAAATTATGGCACATTATTAAAGTGATATTTTGAAATTTATCTTCATACAAATAGAGAGATAAATATTAATAAAATAATATTTTGGTACTTCTCGCTAGATAATTAAGGATAATAAGCCTAAGGGGTTGACTTAGAGTTAAAGACTTGAGAATAAGATTCAAAGTTTCGAGTTCGAGTCACTCTAAGGGGTTGATGGAGGTCTGTTCGGTGGTTAACTTCAGGACATTAGTTGACGTGCGCGCAAATTGATCTGGGCACCCAATTATCAAAAAATAATAATAGTAATAATTAAGGATAATTATCAACAAAAAAAAATTAAACTCTATCAAGACTCCTTTTTATTGACACATATAAATAACAGTGATCTCCGAAAAACATTTGCACACAATTCTATACACAAATCAAGTTGAAAGAAAGATTCATCGGATTGAAGCTAGAAAGTCCAGAAGAACTTTCCTTGCATAAGCTTTTGATTTCAAGGCAATTATTCGTGTCAAAACTCTATCAATCTCTATCACACATTAGAAATTCAAGTCAAAGTTTTTGTGAATCTCTATAAAATTATTGTATTCTTCTACTAAATTGGAGAAGGTTTTGCAATTTGATTTGGAAACAACTGTCCTTATTTTTATCACATTTTGTTTCCAATGATTTGATAGTTTTGTATTTAATTAATTTGAGGATTTTAAGCCATAATTTGAAATAAATAATACATTTTTTTTGAGATCGTAAAAAAAAAAAAAAAAAAATTAAAAGTTCTATGTTCACATTGTTTTCTCTCATTTTGTACTTCTGCAGAACCCAACAATTTTGAGAAAGGGTGAATTTATAGTGGGTAGAAATTTTCTTAATATGTTCAATTGATGATTTGCTGTCAAAACAATCAAACAAACTCATGCACAACACCTATTGCACAATAAGGACAAAAGGTTGCACTAATGCCACAAAAAGATTTTTATGATTCTTCGTTTATATCATCCGCAAAAAAATTAAATCAATTCGATAATTTTAGCCTTTTCAATTTATCGTGTTTGTCATTAAAGAAATGGTTTTTTTTTTTTTAAAACACACTTATCATTCATTTTTTTCGATACAATTGTAATAAATTAAATAGACTATGATTATTAAATCAACTTTTTTTTTTAGATGATATACACGAAGGACTTTATGAAAATAAAAAATTTAAATCATCAAAACATGACCTGGGGTGGACCTCCACGACCCAAAAGGCACCCCCATTGGCCATGTATTGGTAATGTCTATTTATTTTGAATCTTTCATATTTTCCAATTTAATAATACTTTGACATTTGCTTGAATATTGCTATCTAAAAACTTGAAAAAATAAAATAATAAAAGTCAAGGTGCCATAGTTCATATAATATTTTCCTTTTTTGGGGTGCATGTAACAAAAATAATGCCACCATTTTATTGGTTTAGGTTGTGTTTGGTTTATAAATTTGAAGAAAAATTTAGAAAAAAAAGAAGAAGAAGGGAAAAGGTATGTAAAATATAGGTGAATTGTAGTCATATTTCACTTAATTTTTATTTTCTATTTCCAAATTACTTCCCAAATTCATTAACCAAAAGAGAAAGAAGTGCATGCGAGATAGTTAAAACCTAACAAAAGTACAAAAATATAGAACAACGTATCAAAGAACCAAACAAGACCCTACTAGAACAAACTTAAAACATGATGGCCATATTAGTATTCAAAGTAGAAAACGATGAGGAACTTTTGTGGAATGAATGGCTTTTGTGAACACTATCTACATGTGGGACCTTCCCACCTTTTGAATCATATTGAATGAATGGACCATACCTTATGTATGGCCTAAAGTTAGACCTAGCATCTCCAAAATACAAGCCTGAAACATCTCCAAAAGCACAACAAAATAAAATAAAAATCACCATAAAAAAAAAAGTCGTCCCAAGGTCAATCAAAAGTAAAACTTTTACTTACCCAAAAAAGAGTAAAACTTTTACTATCCATGGGCTCCAATACAAAAGAATGAAAAAAGAATTCATATACAAAGGTTAAAATAACTCTATATATTTATTAAAAAATATATATTATCTAAAGCGAAAACAAATCAGAATCATCATGATGTCCAAAAGCACCATACATATAAAGGTTGTAAATCTCATATTAATTGTCAAAATTAGGTTTGTAAACAAGTCAAGTCGAATCATATAACAGGTTATTCAAGTTTAATTTGAAAAACTTATTGAGTTTGAAAAAATATATATAAGTTTGCTTTGTTTACCATTTGAACTAAACCGAAATGAGTTTTAATGGAACGGAATTCGAGCAACTAAATTGGTATTTTATTGCCCATTTAAGTTTATAAAACTGAGTTTGAGCTAAACTCAAAATATCAGCGAGTTTCAAAATGTGTTCAGTTTTAACTTATTTATATAATAAGTCATTCTTGAATTGTTTTTTAATGAGCCGAATATAAGTCGAGTTCAAATGATTTGATTTGTTTTACCATCTTAAATTAAATAGATATGCCAACAAAATGAATAATAAATTAAACAAGAAATTATCAATGTAAAAAATTATCAAGGCACCGTGGTGAATTTTTCAAATAAAATTTTCTTCTTTTTCATAAGTCCAATACTCAAATCTACAACATAATTTGCCTTATCTGAAAAATAACTAATAAGATTATGGAACACAAATTATTGAAGTCAAATAGAAAAATAATTATGAAAGATGGAAAATAATGTGAAGAGCGGAAATCAAAAAGGTGGTTAGTTAATAATTCAGTAATAGAATAAATATTTCAAAAGAATATGGCGATATGAAATTATCAATTTGCCTGCATAATGCTTCTCATTTCCGCTCATACACATTTAAAGCATGTGTTTGTAAACTGTTGCAATTATAAGTTGTTGCTCATCCACAATTATGTGACAGTCACTAGCTACATGTGTTGTAAATTACTTTACAGGTTGCTTTTCCCGTCTTGGAGGATTTCGAAATTCATGGATTGCCTAACATAATAGAGATATGGGACAAGCAATTACTCATAGCCTCAGAAAAAGAATCAAAGTCCTTCTACCAACTGAAAGATATGAGGGTTTCTAATTGTGAGAAATTGGTACATGTGGTCCAATTCAATATGCTCCCACGACTGCAAAATCTCAAAAGATTCTACGTGGATAATTGTCCAAGGATGGAAGCGATAGTCTCGGAAAAAGAAAAAGAAGAAGGAACCACCGGGAATGATATCATCGTGTTCCCTCAATTAACAACTCTTTATCTTTCTGGGTTGGTGAGCCTTAAAAGTTTCTACAATGGGCCTACAAGATCTGAAGCACAACCCTTATTCAACCACCAGGTTTGATTTTCGTTTTTTATTTTATTAACCCTCGCCGTGGGAAAGCGTGCGCACAAAAAAAGAAAATTAAAATTCATTTGCCATTACAATTTTAAATTTGAAGCTTATTTGAATATTCTCTTTCTGTCCAAATCCAAATAAAAGTAAAATAATTGCAAGGTGGATATGCTAGGGCTCTACGATGGAAATTACAATATTAGCCAAACAATGTTACCATAGATCAACAATCTCATAATTTCCATTCATTATGTCTTTGATCGTTACAAAAGATGATACATAGAATATATATTCACAAATCCTAGATTCTGAATCTATAGCATATGCCATGGATACAAGTGCAAAATGGAAATTAAAATCAAACAAGGAAATACCCTAATGGCTTGCAACTTTCCAAGACGATATTTGGTTACAACAAAATGAGTTTAAACTCAATACAAGTAAAGCCCAAGGCTTGAACAAAATATTTACATCAAGACACAAAAGGTGAAGCCTTAAGCTCTGAGTCCTCCCAAGCTATGTCCTTGGCAGAGGCATATCATCAGCACCTAAAAGTTGTTTTCCACATAGGGTGAGCTAAAGTCCAGTAGGAATACTCTAACACAGTATATGAATTTTAGCAAAATCATAAGGTGAATGCACATGTATGCTATTTTCCGAATATTTCTCATTTTCCATCTCAAAGTCATGCAATGCCAAATCATATATCAATTCGTGAAAATAATCTTTTTAATACAGAAAATAGGTCAGTGGATACAAAATACTGAGAATAGGTACGTGTCTAGCAGTAGGCTATACAAACACTGCCAAAGCCATTTTACTAGTACTAACCAGAAGGATCGGCCCCTAACCATGCGAGTTTTTGGACTTTCACCAAGGACACACAGGACAACCTCATAGCCACAACCACACCCTCTAACTAGATTCACCCAGGTATTCACCCATTTTTCTCAAAATAAATACATTTACACTGTTCAATGAATAATGATGCGCAATGCACAATGGATGAGAAATTAGTTTAATTCAACCTAATCTTTATGGAACATCTACAACGATCAAGACTATCCTCCACCGATTGCCCAAAACAGTGATTTTTATTCAATAGATAAATTCCAAGCAAAAGATACATTTCCATCAATTACAATGGGATGATATCACATATCCAACTCCACCATCATTATCAACATAACCATTATTCCAATTCTAAGATATCCAACATCATTTCCATTTCCCTTTCACAATTTCAAATATCCAAAATGAGGACAAAAACCCTCTTTTCTTACAAAATCAATTTTAAGAAAAGATTTCCATCATTCTAACTCAACTCAACTCATCAAATGAGACGAGTCCAAAACAGAATTGCTATATAATCTGTTCACTAACCATCCTCTCATTAACAATTTCATCCAACCTAATCCGCCAAATAAACGTGGCCTTAAAATATAAATTCCTCCCTATGGTTCTAAAAATTACAAATACCCCATTGTTAGAAATTTTTTGTTTAAGAGAATTAACAGAAAAAATAAAATTTCTAACTACTCTCTTATATAACAATAAAATTATTTGAATTATTAATTAAAATATATTTATGAAATTATTAAAAAATAATAATTGATTTCATGATTTATTAATAAAATGAGTTATTTGTTATATGATTGGAAATTTGATAGGAAAATATGTAATTTCTAAAATCACATGGGGCAATTTGTATTTCATATAAGCTTCAAAGGGTGTGTTTTATAAGGGATTCGGCTTGTCTCTCTAGTTAAGAGTTCATTTGAGCCCAACGATTACAGTCTCTTACCGGTAAGAGTTTATGAAATGTCTTGGCCCATTATTTTAAATCTTAGTTTAGTTAAATCTTTTCATAAACTTTTACTAGTCAGATTTTAATAGTCTAGTCTAGTTCTAATTTCAACTGAAGCCGTTCCTTTTTATAGGATCATAGAACATAGATTATCAAAGTCAAATGAAAAAACTGACGATGAAATGTGAAATAATGTGAAACGGATTTTACAAAAATAAAATAAAATAAAATAAAAAGGGGGAGGGGGAGGTTTACTAGTTGAAGGAAAGTGTGATTAAATTATAACTGCTCAATATTTTAGATGGATACGAAAATGTGTAACTATGAATCAATTTACTTGCCTACTGCTCATCATCTATCTGCACATGGCCCCGGTTACAAAAGCTAATTAATACATTTATTGTATAGCAGTTGCTAACCCCACTTGGGGGAGGTTACCATTTTTTAAGAGTCAGTTACCAGAATGTGTTTTGAACCAACTTTGCAGGTTGCTTTCCCAGTCTTGGAGAATTTGAAAATTACTAAAGTGCCTAACATAACAGAGATATGGGACAAGCAATTACTCACAGTCCTAGAAAATGAATCAAAATCCTTCTGCCAACTGAAAGAGATAGAGGTTAATAATTGTGAGAAACTGAATGTTGTTTGGTCCAATATGCACCCACAACTGCAGAATCTGGAAAAACTCAATGTATATGGTTGTCCAAATATGAAAGTGATAGTCTGGGAACAAGAAAATGAAAAAGGACGCACCAGTGATGATATTATTGTGTTCACTCAACTAACAACTCTCTGTCTTCAAAATTTAACGAAACTTAAAAGTTTTTACAGTTGGCCTACAAGATCAAAAGCACAACCTTTGTTCAACCACTAGGTACGGTTTTCTAATTGATTTTATTAGAGCATATCTCTAATGCAGTCGGCATATGATGCCTTATAGTTAAAGTACCTAATATAAATTACTTTTGTCAATTCCCCCGAATTAGGTATATGGTTAGGCATTTGTCTCAACTAAAATTCAATAGTTAAATGTAGTTAGCCTTCAAATGCTAGGCACAATGTTCTTGACCTTTATGATTATTTCCCTTTTATCTTTAAAGATGATGTGGCATTTTTTAAATTAAGTAGTGTTAGGATGAGTAGTAAAATAAATAGTAGTGTTGGAGTTGAAATATAAAAAAGTAGATAGGAAAAATAAATATATATTTTATTATAATTTTTGAATAGATACCTAATAGTGTTGGTGATGCTCTTAACCATGACCATGGGAAAGAAAATACAAAACGCAAAGGGCATTGTTATATAAGTCAAAAAATTAAATCCAATTTTCAAGCTCAATGATGTGACAATTAATTCGAATATCTAAGGTAACACTCTCTCTCATATTTTTTCAGTCATCAACCAATCATATCCCTTACATATCATTGAGTCTAGAAAATGAGTTTAAAAAGTGGACTTGTATATTATTTTCCAAATGAAAATAAAATTATAATTCCTATCCAACTGCAAAGTTAACTTTGAAACTGAATTGAGTATTCAAATTCCATCCAAATAGAAAATAGAATAAGAAGGTAGTAAAATGAGTAGATATGCTACAATATTTAAGGAAATTACAATATATGTTGAAAAAATATGTATGAATTCTAAATTATATGTAATTTTTTTCTTTATTACATATGCATATTAATATGATTATATTTACCTAAATTATGCCCAAAATTGTAATTTTCCCAACCTTGACTTGGTGAGTCTTAAAAGTTTCTACAAGATTTAAATCTGAAGCACAACTCTTATTCAATCACCAGGTTTGATTTTCTTAATTTATTTTATTAACCTTAGCCATGGGAAAACGTGGACACATAAAAAAAAATTAAAGTTCTTATTCAATTACAATTTTAAATTCGAAACTTAGTAGAAGAAAAAAAAATGTGTAAAAAAGTAAAAGAAAAAAAATATAACTTTTTAGGTTAATTTGGATTTATCATCAATTTACTCGATTTTTTAGTGACTTTCTAGAAGGAAACAAAATGTGTAAAAAAGTAAAAAAATGTTGACTTTTTTTAGTGACTCTTTGATTTTTTAGTTAAATATATATAATTTTCCAAATAAAGCCTAAATATACTAATTTTAGTAGTAAGAATAAGATTTATAATCAAATATAATATTTTTACAAAGGGGTATTGAGTAAGTTAGGATAACAAAGGTAAAGGTAGGTAGTTGAGTAATAGTTTGATCGGGTAGGAGAAGTTGAAGGGCGGATGGGTGAGAGTAACTAAAAAAGGGATTGAATATGGCCAATCTGTGACACCATTAATGAAAGAAAAACAAAAAATAATAAAAATCAGAAATGTAGACTTGAAAAAAATAATAGAATTACTTTATTCAAAACCATTATTATATTTAATATTTTTACTATTTAATTTTAAATTATTTTTTTGTATTTATTAAAGACAGTATACCATGTTAACATTCACATATACAATAGTGTTGACATAGATATAGTAAATTAAGAAAGGAAAATGTTTGAGGGCCACAAAATTAGTGGCTCAAATGGCTCAAAACTGTCAAAACGACGTCGTTTTGTGTTGTTTTACATCCAAAATGACGTCGTTTTGATAGTTTTGAGCCATTTGAGCCACTGTTTTTTTGGAAAATCTTCACTGTATTTAAAAGATTTAATTCTATTGTGTACACAACAACAAATAGAATTTAAAGAAATAAAGAAAATGAGAGAATTTGTTTGATTACAAAAATCAAACTCGAAATAAAAATAAATAAATAAAAACAGATTTTATTTTGTTACAAAAACAAAAATAAAATCTGATTAAATAAACAAATAAAAACAGAATAAACTTAAACAACTTACTTGGTTAATTTATTTGAATAACTTTTCTGATCAAGTCCAGTGTTTAACACTGTGTCCTTAAGACAGATTCGTCCTCTCCACGGTGCTTTCAGAATTCGGACGTCTATCTCCCAGGATGAAATGATCTTACCACAAACAATAGCAGCACTACAAATTGTTTGCCTTACGAACACACTAAGTGTTTACACTCTTCTAATTCTGGTTTTATCCAGAATTTTATAACCATTTCCAACAATCCCCCATATGAATGGAATTTGAGGACAACGGAAATGCAACAAAATGCAGACTTTAACGAAAGAGTATAAGTCGAAAATATCTTGCATCAGGATAGGTAGTTTTCGGCCTTGAACCTTCCCTAGTGATAACCTATCGGACTTACTGGCTAACCAATGGACGCGATGCCTTGAATTGTTCAGCCGTTTGTGTAAGCCAAGACAATAGATTTCACACAAAATATCTTCTAACACATCGTGG